AAAAGAAGTAGTAAAAATTTGAAGGAAGACTTGGAGAAAATTAAAAGCAGATCTAAGGTTGTGTAGAAACGTAATGCAATCAAAATGATGTGAGAGTATGTTTTCTTAGAAGTTATTGATAACATTAACTCAGGTCTTAATAGTCATCCCTCACTAGGTAAAGCCATAGTCACAAACGGCCTCAAAACCTCAGAGGCTTGCCGTGTCCGTGGCAACAAGTCTTGCTCCGGTGGCTGGGGCAAGTGGGGCTCAGCTCTGTGCATCTCACGGCCTCAAAACCTCAGAGGCTTGCCGTGTCCGTGGCTGGGGCGAGGGGGGCTCAGCTCTGTGCATCTTCTCCGTCTGGATTGGCTGAAGGAACAGCTCTTATTCTAGAATGTGTCTTTTTATGCAAAGGGAAAGGGCAAGAAAGTAGAATTCCACGTGATGGCTGTTCTGCAGCTTCTCACTTCCACTCTTTTTCGGTAGCAAAAGGAAAGCATGAGACCAATGGTGATAGCATGGAACTCAAATCATATGGCTGTGGAGAGGAACTTATAATGATTTATTGGAGAGAGTGGAAAAATCATTAGAAAAGTGATGTAATCTACTGTCAGTGTCACATGTCAATACTGTCTTCCATGGAGAATGGGAGAGTACAGATAAGTCCTGAAAAGACAGAACAAATGCATGTCAGAAGTCAAACACTCAGTTAACAGTCACAGGCTGGAGTTGTCATTAGTACTGACATCTCTGGCTTTTGCCATTGAATTAGCCCAGAAGGATAGGATGGCTGTTTAAGTAAAACTAACTTGAAAAGGGAACGCGAGCTTTGCAGCTTAGATAGAAGTACTAGTATGATATGTGACGATAAGAATGCAAAGAGTGAACAGTGGTAATTAAAAATACATTGTCATAAAGCTCTGGAAGTGTTCATGAAGTAATGGCTTAGGAGAATTTAAAGACACATGTTGTCATTCTTAAAGCAACCACCCAAGTAATAACACAAGGATAACCCCAAGATTAATTACATTACAGTAAATGGGCTTCACGCCCTGATGAAATGCCAGCATATTCAGACAGAATAAAAGAGCAAGATCCAACTGTATGTCTCCAAGAAACACTTCTTTTAATTAGTTTTCATTTCACGTTATTTTGTATGAGCTTCAGGTGCACAGCTAGTAGTTAGACCAGTGGTTCTCAACCTGTGGGTCTCGAGCCCTTTGGCGGTCAAAGGACCCTTTCACAGGGGTCACCTAAGACCATCCTGCATATCAGATATTTACATTACGATTCATAACAGTAGCAACATGACAGTTATGAAGTAGCAACGAAAATGATTTTATGGTTGGGTCACAACGTGAGGAACTGTATTTAAAGGGCCAGAAGGTTGAGAACCACTGAGTTAGACAATCATATACTTTGCCAAGTGTTCCCTCTGATATTCCCAGTGCCCCCCTGCCACCGTACATAGTTACTATAATATTATTGACCCTGTTCCCTATGCTGGACTTTCCATCCCCGTGGCTGTATTGTAGCTACTGATTTGTCCTTCTTAATCCCTTCACCTCTTTCACCCAGTCCCCAAAGCCCCTCCCTCTGGAAACCATCGGTCCGCTCTCTGTATCTGCGAGTCTGTCAAGTAACACACTTTAAACATGTTAACAAACAGGTCGGGTGTAAAAGAATAAAAATAATAAGCGAAAGAAAGCTGGTGTGGCTCTGAATATCAGAACAAAGCAGACTTCACGATGACTAATGTTGCTAGAGATTCAAAGGGTGCATTTTATAATGAGAAAAGGGTCACTTATTTAAGAAGACATAAGACTACTAAATGTTTCTGCACCTAATATCAAAGCTCCCAAATACAAGGCAAAACAAAAGAGAACTAGAAACAATTTTACTTCGCTGATAGAGATTTTAACACTCCTTTCTCAGTAGTAGATCAATTGAAAAATCGGTACAGTTCCAGCTGATTTGAACAACACTAACCATCTACTTAGAGCTAATTAACTTTTATAGAAAATTGCTCCCCACAAGAGGTTACAACTTCTAACATGCCCATGAATTATTCAAGAAGGTGGACAATATTCTCAGTCATAAAACAAGTTTCAATAAATAGCAAAGGACTCAAATTAAAGAGCATGTTCTCTAACCAATATAGAGTTACATTATAGATGAATAAAATAATACACTTTTTAAAACCCTCAAATATTTGGAAGTGAAAAAACACACTTACTAAATAACCCATGGAGTAGAGAAGAAATCTCAAAGGATATTACCATAATATATATATATAGATAGATAGATAGATAGATATATGACAGAAATCATAAAAGCACAATATTCATATTTGTGAGATGCAGCTAAAGCAGTCTTTACAAGGAAATTTATAAGTTTAAATATATATATATATTAGAAAATAAGAAAGCTGTCAAATTAAGTACTTCTTCCATTTTAAGAAACTATAAAAATAATAAATTAAACCCTGGGAATATAACACAGAGGAGATAAGAAGAGCAGAAATCAATAAAAGGGAAAATTTAAATAGCTTTTATGAAGAATCAAATAATAATACTGTCATAGACAAGCTCTCTCATGAAATAGGGGAAGTGGGAACACTTCCACCAACTCATATCATGAGAACACTTAGGTACTATATGGCAGTACAGCACATATATCATAGCACATATATATGATATGTACTATATGTAGCTATTAAAAATGCTATAAAGGTAATTATAATACCACTATCACCCATGTTAAAATACCATCCTATGAAGTGTAGTTTATATTGTGTTCTTACTTTTGTGTATAATTGTGAGCGAGCACAGTTCCTCCCCTGGGTCACTTCCAGTGGGTGCCTAACCAAGGATCGCAGCTGGGGAAGAGTAGGGGCGGCCCCTAAGTGGCTGTAACTGTTCCTTAAAGACCTTCCCCTTGCCTTAGCCCGTTTCCCGAGTGATGGGAAGTTTGAGTCTGGAAGCTGCGAATCTCACTGACACTAAAAGGCTCTCCCATTAGCAGCTTCCATGTTGCATTAATAATAAGAAAGGAATAAAGAGACCAGCCTCAGCTGCTCAGTCTCCCAGGAGAGGAGGCCCCAGCCTCCTGCTCATCCCCAAGGCCCACTCTAATGGTCTTGCCGGTATGAGAGTAACAGAGAGGATGCTAAGTGCTGTCTGTTTTCTCAGAGTTCAAAATCCCTTCTTATTGGGGAGGAACTCCTGTTCTTTTTTAAGACTTCCTAGTTTAAAACCGTATCATGGATACTTTTTTGATTGAAGTGAATCTGTCATAATTCATACCTTTATTAATTAGCTAGAGGCCCGGTGCACGAAATTTGTGCACTTGGGAGGGTCCCTCAGCCTGGCCTACGCCCTCTCGCAGTCCTGGAGCCCTCAGAGTATGTCCGACCGTCAGACATCCCTAGTACTGCCGCAGAGGCGGAAGAGGCTCCCGCCACCGCCACTGCGCTCGCCAGCTGTGAGCCGGACTTGTGGCTGAGTGGCACTCCCCCTGTGGGAGCGCACTGACCACCAGGGAGCAGCTCCTGCATTGAGCATCTGCCCCCTGGTGGCCAGTGTGCATCATAGCGACCAGTTGTTCCACCATTCGGTTGATTTGCATATTAGCCTTTTATTATATAGGATGTAAGTGCCAATTATCAAGTACAGGGAGAAATTGCTTTAGAAAAAAATAAATCCATCTTTCCTGGAAAAACTGTAAAACAGAGTCCTCTCAGAGATGTCTCTTGTCTTTTGGGGGGAAAAATGTAATCACTTCTCTGCACAGCAGAAAATTAAAGAAAATCATGAATAAAGACCTTTGCTTTTGCAAATGTTAAAAACCTTTGTTAATAGACAAAGAAGAAACGATGAGAAAATATCTTATTCAAACGAGATAAATAAAACTGGATTTGTTAGGTTCAGGGTGCATATTAATGAATTATGTCTTTGTTAAAAGTTTGTCTTTTGGGGGTTCATAAAGATAGCCATACTTAACGGCTTGTGTTCCTTTTCTACTGAAAATGCATGACCTGTAGCAGAAGTGCACTTTTAAGATCTTCCTGGTGTAAACATCTGTTTTTAAGTGTGACCTGTGCAAGGAGTAAGAGTATCTATGCAGTAGTTAGGTGGTTGCAATTTTTCATCTACAAGCAAAACCATTTTTGCTTTCAACTATTTTTTAATTGGGTAAACAATAATCCATCATCTCAAAAGTGTTGCTCAGATTTTCATTATTTGGACTGAAAATGCTAGAAAGTTTTCCTTGATTTATACTACTGTGCTCTGATTTTGCATGGTTAATTTTTATAATTAGGCTATAAATTACATATTTTTGTACTTCTAATTTATGAGGAAGAAAGAACAATGTCAATAATCATCATTAATGACAATATATATTTTTAAAATGAAATATATGTTCATAACCCTCAGAGAAGGAATCACTATGATGGGCTCTATTTATGTAAGAATCAAGAAATTATTGTACAAACCAATTAAAAGCTGTTTTCTGGAAATTTATAATTAACATTATTTTTCTTACATCTAATAAGTCAAGGCTGCCCATTCAGGTTCTTAAAATTATGTATAAAAGCCTGTGGATGAAAAAGAAATCTACAACTTAGAACTGAGACAATGTTAGGTATCTATTTACAGTCTGGTGGACACTAGATTTTTCCTCTAGGCAAGGAAAAAAATCTAAATCCCTTTTCATTAAATCACTCTTTCATGTGGTGTATTTATGAGCCAAGGAATTTTCATAAATCCAGTAGACCCTGTTATTTGTTTTATGTTGCTTGTAAAAAGCTGAAATGTCTGCTACATACCAATGGGGGGCATGTTATTGTTAGATTGTTTTTAAATTTAGGGAAGGATGGAGCTGAGCACGCCATTCGTATGAAGCCCTGATAGCAAATAGGTCCATTGGGAAAGCAGCGGCTTTCTGATAGCCTTAGAGTTGTTGGTGTTCTGCACACTTGTCTGAATTAGTTTTGTTCCCTTTTCTCTCTCCTGCAGTCCACGAAGGCTCAGGAGAGACCAGCCAGAAGGAGACGTCCACCTGTGACATTTGCCAGTTCGGTGCGGAATGTGACGAAGATGCCGAGGATGTCTGGTAATGCGCTCTCGCTGATTCTTTTAAACCAAATCATGAAAGTTGATTTCCTTTTACTCCTTCCGGTATTTCCTGAAGAAGACATGGTTGGCATTTCTTTTTCTTATCTAGTTCCTAAGGTGGGGAGGGGCGGGGAATATGAGGTCTGTTGTAATGTCAGGAATTTCTGAAACTGAATTAAGAGTTGGTCTGGGCCAGCTGCCCTGCTTCGTTTGATAGGGTATAAAAAGATATCACAGAGACTCCCCAGTACCGTCAGGGTTAAGAGATGGAGAGAACAATCACATTTACCAGAACATCTCTCAAGAAGCGTGGTCAGGAGACAGTGGGCATCTGCTAATCCGCTTTCTAATGGTGGGTCCGAGTGACCTTGGAGCTTTCACTGAAGGGTCTGCCTATGCGTGCCGGTAGCTGAACTGGGAAGATAGGAAAGCAAAGATTGACCTGAGCCGCCCTCTAGGATCAACTTCCCCTTCACCCCAGCAGTACGCAGCTTCTCCTGTAAAGATATGCTGAAGCGATAATGAATATTATTTATTTTGAATGGGTCCCAAAATGCTAGCCTTCTAGGGCATGAACATGTGTTTGGTTCTACCCTGATCATACCCAGAGTAGTGACCAACCTAGAACCCAGAGGAGGCCTTTGTGCTGTGATAGTGGAATGAGGCAGCCTCTCTCTCTCTCTCTCTCTCTCTCTCTCCTCTCCCCTCTTCCTCCTCCCTTTCTCCCTCACAGGAAAACAGCCAAGTGTCCTTTGTTTTCTTCAAAATGTGCCCGTGCTTGCCTAGAGCTCTTAGCTCTCATTTTGATCAAAGTGGCTGAGTAACTCTTACATGCTCTCACCAACAAAAGGAGTGGTGATTCTGTGACTGGATGGTGGTATTAGCTAACATGATGGTGGGAATCCTGTCTATATATATAAAAGCCTAAGCTACCATTCAACCGTTCGACTGGTAGCTATGACACACACTGACCACCAGGGGGCAGATGCTCAATGCACAGGCATGGATACATGGAAAAGACTGATGAATCTCAGAAGGTAGGGGGAAGTGGGGAGGGCAGGAAGAAATTAACCAAAGAACTTATATGAATATTAGAGGCCTGGTACACAGATTCGTGCACCAGTGGGGTCCCTCAGCCTGGCCTGCTGGGATTGGGCCGAAACCAGCAGTCCGACATCCCCCGAGGGGTCCCAGATTGCGAGAGGGCGCAGGCCAGGCCGAGGGACCTCACCGCTGCATGAATCCATGCACCAGGCCTCTATTTGCAATATAGAAGTGTAACAAATCACCCTGTTGTACATCTTAAACCTATACAATATTATATATCAATAAATCTCAATTTTTAAAGAGTAATCATTTTGATCACATTTTTGTGGATGGAGGGGACAATTTAAGGGACAAGAAGAGGAAATGAAGGCAACATAATTTTGGCAAGAGTGAAACAGTCTGCACTTAAAATCTTGAAAAATATGTTTGAGTGCAGATGAAGTTGAGGATTCCGACGGAGCACACTGAGGCTCTTGGGGTAAATCAGTGATTGCTATTTCAGAAAAGTGTGACTTAGAATTTTACTTACGTCTCCCCAAATGCTTTAGGGCTCTGTATGTTAAGACACACTTCCAGGAAATATGCTTTTTAAAGATCTCATATTTAATGTTTGCTTATAGCTGCATCTGTAGTTCAACATTATTTTTAAAGCTGTTAGAAATCTTGCTATCAATGCTTTACTTTTTAAAAATTTACATGGGTCCCTAATTTTTTCTTAAGAACTTCCATTCCCCACGTTTCTCATCTCCCTAGTGATTATCTTTGTGACATAGTCCCCTTTACAAGTGCAAAGACTTAAGAGGTGAGTTAAGTGAGCAGGTGAAAATTACAGACTGCTTACTTCATACCCTCATTTGTATGACTATTTCTCTCAGTTATCTTCAACATAAGCCTGGGGGTGTCTTCCTTTATGATCTCGCTCTATAGAGAGGGCGCTGAGCTTTTCAGTATTAATACATTGTTTGCGGGTAGTTTTTATCGCAAGCTACCAGGTGGCTCTACTTCTACAGTCTTACACTCAACGTAAAGGTTTCCCGCATACAGTGTGTTAAATGGCAGGGCCAAGATGAAGCTCTGAGCTGAAAGTAACCAGAGGGCGTTAGCCTAACAGCTCAAGCAAAGATGCAATTAAAACCTCGTTGTTCCCTGTCCTGTCTGCAATCATGAGATGGCCAGATGGCAGGAGCAGGACGCACAGGGTGAGAGCCCTGACGGGGGCAGTGCCTGCAGCCACTGTGGGGAAACGTCAGGCGAGTGGTGTCACTCCTGGTGTCCCAGCAAAAGACGGGACCCATGGTCTGGAGGCAGACAGTGCAGGGAGATACGGGCAAGGCCCGGGGCGCCTGGACTTAGAAAAAAAAACTTGGTTCAAAACCACGGAGAAGGGGAAGGCAGACCCTCTATCCGTGAGGAGCGGGTCACCAACCAGGAAAGGCAACCGGGCAGATGGGGGGAGGCTGGGGAGACACCCGCTGCAGGAGCTGCTGTAGGAAACAAGCCCGGGGACCAGGGGTGGAGCCAGCACCTGGACCTCAGAAATCAATGCCAAGGTCAGGGGTCAGCGTGCTGAGAGATGCTGAGTCAGTTAGCTCCTGGCTTAGGGCATCTCTACACCCCCAGCCTCCAGACAGGACTGGCTCCGAAGTGGGGCCTAAGG